TACAGGGTGTGGGAAGGTGCAACACCTACCTAGGCGAGATGGCAGTTAGCCTCATAGATTTTGATGGCGACCTGTCGACGTACGACTCGTCAGACAGCAACTTCCAGCACAACGAGTCGGAACTTCTGAAAGCTGAGAACCAGCGCCTTCAGCAGCAAGTGAGAGAACTACTAGCAAGACTTGACACGAGTCAACGGGAACCAGACTTGTCGATTGCAACCTTGGGGCCAAAGGTTCGACCCACCCCTAAGCCAGAGAAGAAGATTTCTGGTAGCTGCGCCTCCGCCTACACCGGCGCCTACACAACCCACCACTTCGACGCCTACTGCTAGCGACAACGACAGCGAGAGGTGGACACCCACCGGCAGAGAGACGTCACCATCGAGAGTGACTGAACACTGGTCAATGTACGTGAGTCAGGGTACCCAGTGCGGAGATGGCCTGTTGGAGTCACTCGGTACCGAAGAGAAAGTGAAGGCGAAGGTGGAGACGGAAAGCTGTGCGACAACAGGTAGCGGGAAACGGCCGAACATCCTGCCAGACAAATTCAACGGAAAGACTCCGTGGCGAGAGTATAAGCAGCACATTGCAGCATGCAAGTTGGCCAACAGATGGACTGACAAGGAGGCGAAGGTTTTCCTAGCAGCAAGCCTGCAGGGGGAGGCTGTGAAGATTTTGGGGAACCTGGCCACCAGCGGAAAAGAAGTCACCTATAAGGAGCTGCTTGGCCTCCTTGAGAAACGGTTTGGGCCTGGGCAACTGGCGGAGAACCACCTAATGGAACTTCGCCACAGGCGTCAGAGAGAAAAGGAGACGCTGCAAGAGCTGGGGCAGTCCATACGTGATCTGTCGGCGCTGGCTTATCCGGAGTTGACAGAAGAGGGCCGTGATCGATTAGCGCGAGGGCACTTCTCCGATGCGATACGGGAGCAGGCCATCCGTGAAGGAGTATTCAGGGCCAAACCGTCGTCCTTGGATGAAGCCATCCGCGCCGCCTTGAGTACAGAGGGTTTCCTCAAGATCGAGGAGCAACGTTGCGACAAGCGGACGAAGTTTGCCAGAGGGGTGGATGGAGCACCAAGCGATTCACTGCAAGCAGTTAGAAACGAGNAACTGCAGGAGTCTTTTCAGAAGAGCGACAAGGAAGTTCGCGAATGGCTAGAGCGGATGACAAAAATGCTCGAGGCTACGCAAGGAAGGCGACAAGGAGCGCCTAGGACTACTGTCAGGCACGAGGCAACGTCAGACGACGTGTGCTACAGGTGCAAAGGCAAAGGCCATTTTGCACGTGATTGTCCGCAACGGGGCAAACGGGGCGCAAAGGAGTCGGGAAACGACAGCCAGCTGACTCAACGGCCCGAGGGACAGCTGGAACAGCAAAGGGGCCAGAGTACCAAGGCGAGGACAGCCTAAAGAGGCGAAATATAGAGAAAGGCGACGTGAGACCAAACAGTGACCACAAGGCACAAGCAGGGCTTTTTGTGCAGGCGAAGGTCAGGGGAGTCAATGTGAAGCTGTTGGTGGACACGGGAGCAACTGACTCCGTCTTGTCTTCGGAGTTTTACTTCCGAATACCCAAAGAGAAGCGGCCAGGGTTGGAGAGTGATGGCATAGGCGTTCGGAACGCTGACGGTAGCCGGATGGATACTCTCGGCAGGGCCTGGGTGGAAGTGCAGATTGGCAAGACGACATGTCCAGTTCGAGCTGTGTTTGGCAACACGGGAGAAGTTGAGGGGATCCTGGGGATGGATTTCCTGTTATCAACCAAGGGCTCCCTGGACTTTCGGACCTGTGAGCTGACGCTGAGCGGGGAGAAGATGAAGTGTACGGACCAACGTGGGGGAGGCCTATGTGCCCGGGTAGTTGTGGGGGAAACCACAAGGGTCCCAGCAGGCCACGAGGCGTTGGTGCCAGCCCTAGTGATGGGTGAGCAGCTCAGCAGTAAGTTTGGCCTCATAGAACCATCGGATCGGAGTGAGGTAGCAGACAAGGGCATGATCGTAGCGCGAGTTCTGGTCAACTCAGAGGAAGAGGTGCTTCCCGTGCGAGTATTCAACCCTGGGAAAAGGGAGTGCGTCGTGAAGGAGGGAACCATGGTAGGGTTCCTTACGCCTGTGGAAGGTGACGACGTCGATGGCACTGGGGGACCTTCACCTACTGAGTCGGGAACAGCTGCGTCAGTCCCGGAACACCTGAAAGAGTTGTACGACCGAAGCATCCAGGAAGTGGATGGGAAGTACCATGGCAGAATAGCTGACCTCTTGAGCAGAAACCAAGACGTCTTTGCAAGGAGTGACGCCGACATTGGTCGTACGAACTTGGTTCGACATAAGATAGATACAGGTGCAGCGCGTCCTATAAAGGAGCGGCCGAGGCGATTTCCGCCAAAGCAACAGAAGGAAATCGACTGCCAAATACAGGGGATGATCAAGGAGGGAAGAATAGAGCCCACCGAGAGTCCTTGGGCATCAAATGTGGTCCTTGTGAGGAAGAAGGACGGTAGCCAGCGATTTTGCGTGGACTATCGTCGTCTCAATGCAGTGACTATCAAGGACGCCTTCCCTATACCCCGCATCGATGAGTCTCTCGATACCCTTGCAGGCAGCAGGTGGTTTTCCACATTAGACCTCGCCAGCGGGTACTGGCAGGTGGAGCTTGATGATGAAGCTAGAGAGAAGTCGGCATTTGTAGTCCGAGGTGGCTTGTACGCCTGGCGTGTCATGCCCTTCGGGCTATGCAATGCGCCATCCACCTTCGAGCGGCTGATGGAGAGAGTCCTGGCTGGCCTGCACTGGGAGACCCTGTTAGTCTATCTAGACGATGTAATCGTGTTTGCGAAGACCGTCGAGGAGGAATTGAACCGCCTGGGGACAGTCTTCCAGCGCCTTCGAGCCGCGGGTCTGAAGTTGAAGCCCCGGAAATGTCACCTATTTAGGAAGAGCGTGCTATACCTTGGACACATTGTGTCAGGCGAAGGCATCGCCACAGATCCAGACAAGATTCGCGCCATCAGAGAGTGGCCAACACCCAAGACTTCGAGAGAGGTGCAGAGCTTTCTTGGGCTTGCATCTTATTATAGAAGATTCATTCAAGGGTTTGCGGACATCGCACGCCCACTACACAGTCTCACAGAGAAGTCAAGGGACTTCATTTGGAGTGACGCCTGCGAGGATGCCTTCCAGGAGCTCAAGACAAGACTACAGGAGTCGCCTATACTTGCCTACCCCGTTGCTGAAGCCGACTACATCCTGGATACTGACGCTAGTGCGTCCGGTATTGGAGCTGTCCTGTCACAGGTAATTGACGGGCAAGAGCGAGTCATCGCCTATGCGAGCAGGGTGCTAGGCAAGGCGGAGCGTAACTATTGCGTTACGAGGCGTGAGCTCCTGGCGGTGGTGGTATTCCTGAAACAGTTTCGACAATACCTGTACGGGCGTAGGGTCACGATTCGGACCGACCATGGAGCCTTGCGATGGCTTGTGAATTTTAAAGATCCTCAAGGGCAGATGGCAAGATGGTTGCAGGTGATCAGTGAGTTTGACTTCACTGTCGTGCACAGACCAGGGCGTGCTCACAGTAATGCGGATGGTCTGTCGAGGAAACCCTGCACCCAGTGTGGCCGAGAGGAGAAGATGCAAAAGGCGGACAGCCCGCCGATGGATGAACAACAGGCGACGAAGCAAACAAGTGCAGCCTCAGTGTCCCATTCAAGGGTAGTGACGGTGCAGCCGGCATTAGATGCAGAAGAGCTACGGAAGGCTCAGCTAGAAGAAGAGACATTGAGGGTTGGTCATAGCTACCAAAGAGAACCCAAGTCAGAGCGACCTGGCAGGCGCCATCGGATTGTCACCTAAGGCGAGAGCATACAAGACCCACTGGGGCCAATTGGAGATGCGCGGAGGAGTTCTCCACAGGAAGTGGGAGTCCAATGATGGACGGGAGATAAGGTGGCGCACAGTACTGCCTACCAAATACCAAGAGGAAGTTGTTAGCCAACTACATGGAAGTGTCTCAGGGGGACACTTAGGTGTTATGAAAACGCTGGCAAAGGTGAAGGTGAGGTTTTACTGGGCCGGCATGGCGGCAGATGTGCGATCCATTCTCAGAAAATGTAACGTCTGCGCCCGGAAAAAATCACCTACGAAGACTAGAAGAGCTCCGCTACAGCAGAAAATGGTTGGGGCGCCTATGGAAAGGGTTGCGCTGGACGTGTTGGGCCCTTTGCCGGTGACAGAGAGAGGCAACAAGTACATACTTGTTATAGGCGACTACCTGAGCAAGTGGACGGAGGCCTACCCAATCCCTGACCAGACAGCTACAACGGTTGCAGACAAGTTCGTCAAAGAGTTTGTCTGTCGCTTCGGTGTGCCCGAAGTCCTACATTCTGACCAAGGGCGTAGCTTCGAGTCTCAGGTCTTCTTCCGAAATGTGTCGCCTACTGGGGATTGAAAAAACCCGCACAACCCCCTATAATCCGAAGAATGATGGGATGATTGAGCGCTTCAATCGTACATTGGTCGCGATGGTCTCGATGATGTTAGAACCTCATCGGCGGCAAAGAGACTGGGACGAGAAGATTCCTTTGGCCATGTTCGCCTACCGGGCATCGCCTCAGGAGTCTACAGGCGAATCGCCCAACATGCTAATGCTTGGACGGGAAGTGCTCCTCCCAGTCGACTTGACCATCGAACAACATAGTGACGGCCAACCAGACGAAGATGGCATAGGCACAGACTATGCGCAACAACTGAGGGAACAGCTGAGTCTTGCACATGATCGGGCACGGAAGTGTCTGAAACAAAGTGCAAGGAGGCAGAAGAACTACTACGACAGGCGGTCTGCAACCGACAAGCTGGTGGTAGGAGAATTTGCATGGTTGCACAACCCTGCAAAAAAGAAGGGCGTTTCACCTAAATTGCAGTGCCGGTGGGAAGGCCCGTATCTAATTGTACACCAGCTGTCTGAGGTCATCTTCCGGATTCAACGAAAAAAGCGAGGGAAGATGAAAGTGGTGCACCGCGACAGGTTGAAACCCTACACAGGGGAGCCCCTTG